TGCCATGAATTGAGGAAAACCAGTGGAACCTCAGACTGACAAATAATTGTACAGATTTTGAAATTATTATTATTTTGATCATTTGATATTTTAGTAATTGTTTTGTTTTTACATTTGATACTGATTTCTTTTATTTATTTATTATTTTTAATCAATAAATTATTTAAAAAAATGTTTTTTGTCTATTAATACACACACACACGTTACTGTTTCATTTATTTATTTAATTTTATTTTTTTATATATATTTTATTTTTTAACACACACACTCACTGTTTTATTTATTCATTTAATTTTTAATATATTTTTATTTTTCAACAAAAACACACACGCTTACTGTTTTGTTTATTTATTTTTTTAATTTGTCTTTCTTTTTCTTTTTTTTGTAACACAAACACACATACGCTTTGATTACTTTACTTGTACTTGTTCTTCTGTTGCATATATGATGCTTTGGCAATGTTGTTGTTACATTCATGCCAATAAAGCTAATTTGAATTGAATTGTAAATCAGAAAGTAAAAGGCTACAGAGAAAGCTAATGACTGGGCCTCAAACTCTGATTGTGGGTGACTCTGCTGTAAAAGATGTAAGAAATATGTGCAGTAAGAACATCAAAATACTCTGCTTTCCGAAGGATATGGTCTCTGACTTGGCAGAAAGAATTCTGCATATTGTGGCTGAACATCCTAGTGTGAAAAACATACTGCACATAGGGACCAATGATGTTGTGAATCAACAGTCTGAAGTGTTGAAAGAGCACTTTAATAATCTTTTGAACACAGTCAGCTCTCTGAATGGTGAGGTGTTTACCTATACCGCCAAACCAAAGAGGAGTTGAGAGATTTAGCAGATTGTTAGCATTGAACACGTGGCTCTCAACGGCATGTACTGTCCATTCAGTGCATTTCATTGAAAAATGTAACTTTCTATGGGACTGCAGATATCTATTTAAGGCAAATGGACTTTGCCTTAACAAGTCAGGAGTAAAATTGTTCAGCTCCAACCTGTTTTACTTTCTACATCACTCATCTGTTCCCACTGCCAAGGACAAGAGGGATCAAAACAAGAAGAAGACATAACACAACGCGCCAGAAATCTTGAAGGAGAATCATCACAGCTCCTACAGGAAGAGAGCTCTGATGGGATACATGAGAGCCAAGAGGAAGAGACTCCCTCCCACTCACTAACAACCACCTCTGAGGATTCACCATCTTCAGTCCCCCAATCCCCATCCAGGTCATCCTTATCTACAGACACCCTTTCTCCTTCCTCCCCCCTGTTGGAGTCTTTGGCAGGAAAAACATTTTTAATCAATGATTTTATAATCACTCACAATCTTAATTTCATGTTTTTAACTGAAACTTGGTTGGACCAAGATAACAGTACAGCCGCCCTTACCCCTCCCAACTTCAGTTTTATGAATGAAGCTAGAGTGCATAAGAAAGGGGGTGGACTGCCATTTTGTTTCCTTCAATGTAAAAAGATATCTTGTGGAAATTTAGCTTCTTTTGAATATGTGGCTCTTCAGCTGAATTCCTCTTCTCGAGCTATTTTTCTAAATATCTACAGGCCCCCTGCTGTGCAACCTTTTTTGCTGACTTTGGTGAACTGCTCGATAATCTGTGTTGACTTTGACTGTGTAGTTATTGGTGATTTTAACATCCATGTTGACAAACCCCAGGACAGAGGGACTAAAGAACTGTGTTGTGTTCTTGATAATTATGGACTGACTCAACATGTGACGGAGTCCACACAATAAGGGGCACATGTTGGACTTAGTCATCTTCAAAGGTCTGAACATTTCCAAGGTTGTGGTGACTGATGTTGCTCTTCCCGATCATTCCTGTGTTTTCTTTGAGAGTGCTATCTGCGTGCTATTGAGGCTTTCTCTTCCACACCTGCCCTCCCATGGGTCTCAGTCAATGAGCTTGTAGATTATTTAAATTCTAAAGTTACAAAGGTTATTGATGCCATTGCACCAGCCAAGGTGAAGGTGGTCTCTGCTAAGAAAAGATCTCCATGGAGAAATGACACGCTGGTTAGAACTCAAAAAAGATGTGTGGAAAAGCTCAACGCAGGTGGCGAAAAACGAATCTCCAGGTTAATTATGACATCTATAAAGAGAGACTTCGCATTTGTAACTTAGAATTGAGAAATACAAGGCGGTTCTTCTTCTTCACCAAAAACAATTATAATGCACGCACCTTGTTTGCTACTGTCGACAGGCTAACCAACCCTCCTGTGTCTGTAGCCTCTGAACTTCTATCCTCCAAGGCCTCCTCCTTCTTCACAGACAAAATTCAAACAATTAGTCAAGCAATCAGTGCCTCCACGTCAGGTACAGAAATATGTGTTGTCCCTGTGTCACTTAAAAACAATTCAGATAGCATGACACAATTCGATTCTATCAAGCATAACCACCTGGAGGACATAATACAACATCTGAAATCCTCCTCATGCTGCCTTGATATTCTGCCAACAGGTTTTTAAAAAATGCATGGCCTCAGATCTTCTACAAATTGTCAACATGTCTCTCCTCTCAGGTTTTGTTCCACAGGCCCTGAAAACTGCGGTCATTAAGCCACTCTTAAAAAAAGAGCTATCTAGACACGTCACTAATGAGCAGTTACAGGCCCATTTCCCCATTTGCCGCTTTTAAGTAAAATCATTGAAAAAGCTGTTTTTCAACAACTTAGTACTCTCTTGGCACTAAATAACTGTTTTGATGTCTTCCAATCAGGATTTCGACCGCACCACAGCACTGAGACGGCTGTTATTAAGGTCTTCAATGACATCCATTTGAACACTGACAGTGGCAAATTTCAGTCTTGGTATTATTGGATCTAAGTGCTGCTTTCGACACAGTCAACCACAACATATTACTTGACAGACTTGAAAACTGGATTCTGTCGGTGGAGAGAGACGAGGGAGAAGAGAACTGACACCTATTTTTTTCCACTTCAAGCACTGACGACGCATAGAAAGTGTTTTTCATACCTTGTAAGGAGATTTAGTTGGTGCTTGGTTGTCCGCCATTTTTGAGGGGTTAAAAAATATTACAAAAGGCAGGGTCAGTTCTTTTAAGAGCCGGCAGAAGGGGAACACTCGGATCACTCAGTGACTACACGCGATATATGCCCAGTTAAATAGGACTAAATTCTTTAATTTCGACATGCCTAAAAAGAAAATAGGGAAGATCAGGGGCGAAAGTACCATTTTTCAGAAAAACCTAACTTTTAAAGATATTTTTGGCTGTGGTCACTAACTCATAGGTGTGGTCTATCAATATCAGGTGGTATTTTGAACAAATGTAGGACTTCTGTATAATTTCACTTTAAATATAAGTGGCACATTGTTACTTTCGACAACGTCAGCTGGGGCGAAAGTAACACAACAATACAAGCTAGATTTTTTGCGTTACCACCCTTGTATTTAATAAATAAACATGACTGTGACTTAGTTAATGTGTAACTGCAAACATCTTTTGTCCTTTATCTGAAAATTTTAATTACATTTTTATTTTAAATATTCAGTTTCAAAAGTAACCTGACAGCCCAAACTTGAATTGTTTAGAATATTTCATTTTATATTAAGGATATATTATAAATATATAATATAAATATGCAAATGTGTGCACCTAAAACAGGGGGGAAATGGTTAGATGGACATTGTTTATGAACCTGGCATGATTAAAATGCACAGGAACTCCTGACATACAAACATGATTTATTTTTATACTAAAAAACTCTGGCAGGGCAAACTTCAGGGTGTGTTAAAGCACTAAATAACCTGTAGATTAATCATTACTGTGACACATGAAACGAGAGACACAACTTGTAATTCCAAAAACAGTCCCTTCAAAAATTTACTTGTTGCTTGAAAACAGTTTTCCGAAGACGGCCGCGGGAAACAATGACGAAATCATGCAATATTTGGCAGCTCCCTCAAGGGTTGTGAGAAAATCGCCTTGTTACTTTCATCCTGGTTTACACCTTGTGGAAGAATATTTAATAATCATATGATTTTGAAGTCTATTTTAAGCTAGAACAGAAGGGCCTTGCTCTAGCATTCTGTTGTTTGATCCCTTTTAAATAATTCCCCTTTTGTCCTTCTGTAAATAAATTATTGATGAATACTATTTTTCAGGTGGCCAGAAACACAACTCCAATCGAATGCTACTCATGTGTAAAGCAGCTATCAAGTTTTCCATATTAACTGAAAGGTGACTATACATCAGTTTTGAGTCCACAACTTGTTTCTGCTGCCAAAGTGGTAAAATTGAAAATTTGAGATTAATTGCATTGTTATGTGCAAAATTGTAAAAGTAGTGTATTGCGCCCTTTTAATTTAAATGTACTGCGATACACAAAAGTGCAATAACATGTGGTTTGCAAACATTTTAACCATATAATGTGCTTTCTACCAGCAGTATTCCCTTTACATAGCAATAAAATATTTCTTGTAAATCTCAACTTAAACATTAATGTAATCAAATATTAAACCAAAGCTATTTACCACTGCCAGGACATTACCTTTTATCTAGCTTGTTAAAACAAGCAGTTTTCTTGTTTTTGTTTCTGAACAGGTATCAGGGAGCAGCATAAACACTATATTCAGAAGGGTCGGGATGATGTCTACATTGAAACGTCGGGATGGATGATGGGGGGGTCTTCTGTGCATGTGTTCACTCGCACAGACTTTATTTGGTTAATAACTTGAAATGACGTTAGTCGCGGTGGGTATTTCACAAGCACGGACCAGGTAACGTTAAAGCAGCATTGAACACACAGGGTGCAGGTGTTGGTTTCGGCTGTTTGAGTTGTTTGATAGGCTGTGTCATTAACAAGCAGGCGCCTTTAAAGGTGTCCTTTTTTATAATGAGTGCATGGAACAAACATTTTGCCATTAGTTCAGTGTAAGACTCCCAAGTTCCTGAAAAAGCATTGAACTGTGACCTTGGAACTCTTGATTGGACAGTTAATTATTAATTTGACAAAGGTTTGGTCTTAATAGCACATCTTTATTTCTAGTTCAGTTTAGCACATAAACACAAACTGCCAGCAGAAGGGAATCAAAATCAAATAATGTACTATTAGTCTGCAGGAAAACAAATGGCAGTCATTTAAAATACAATAAAAAAGAAAACTTGAAACAATAGGTAATTTAATGTAATACATAGGTTTAGTTAGGATTTCATCCTAAAATGTTATTGATATGCAAACACATTACAATGTCAAATGTTAATATACACATTAAATATCTCCTTAGGCCATATTCACATACTCATGTAAAAAGGACTGTGTTGAGTGACTTTACTAACCTCCAGGACATCATTCACTCATACAAAACATACATTGTGAATATATTTCTGTGAATGAAATAATAAAAGCTTTTTTTTTTGTTCTTGTGTGTGAGCATCTGGAGGGTTCCTCTGTAGTTAAACAGCCTGAGTTTAGGACCACTCACTTGAACCATCTTCCAATTGCCTTTCCAAGTTGTTTGATTCCTCCAACTATAGCTTCACCAGCTAGAACCAGAGGATATAATAGATTAAACTCCTCAGCTTCCTCCCTGGCCTCCTTTTCATATCTGGACTGCAACTTTTGTTTTTCCTCTCTCAAGTCTTTCTCATGCTGTTCGGTTAGTTTTTTCATCTCCCTCTCTCTGTCATCACAATCTCTCTGTCTCTGTCTTTCTAGCTCTTCCCTCTCCCTCTTTCTTTCCTCATTCATCTCCTCCTTCTCCCTCTTTCTCTCCTCCTCTCTCTCTTTCTTCTCCCTCTCTCTGTCAGCATGGAGTTGCTCTTTAATTTTCTTCATCTCTTTTTCATATTTTTCTTGAAGTTTCCTTTCAAGTTTCTCTCTTTCTTTCTGTATTTGCTCTTCCTTCTCTTTCAGGATGCGTTGTTTCTCCTCTTCAAGTGCCCTCTCAGCCTCTTGGAACATCTTGTTGGTGTAGTGGCTTCCTCCGTTCCTCTGGACTATATTTCTGATCTTCTGGAGCAGCTCAGTGACCTGAGAGCGATCCTTCTTCTCCTTGTTGTTGAAGACATGGTACTGGCCGTTACATCTGCCCACGAGTTCTTGAAGTTCTGGGCTGCCATTCAAGAAGTCCTCAATAGTGGTGTCTTCAAGAAGGTCACCACCGGTAAAGAGAACCATGCTGTATCTGTCTGCAGCCTGGCCAAAGATTTCTTGAATCCTTTGCACCGTCTGTTTCTCCTCTTCAGTGTATCTGCCCAACCTGATGACCACCAGGAACACATGGGGTCCAGGAGAAGCGTAAGAGATGCACTGGCATATATCTTGAGTTGTTTTATTCATGCCAAACCTGGTGTCAAACAGGCCCGGGGTGTCAATGACGGCAACCTGTTGCCCATCCACCTCAGCTTTGCCCTTAGAACAGTCTACAGTCATAGACTTTGCACTGAACTTTGACTCAAAGCACTGTCGTCCCAGAATGGTGTTTCCAGTGGCACTCTTCCCAATTCCAGTCTTCCCCACCATCACTATCCTCAGCTCCTCATCATTTGTTCTGGTGCTTCCTGTGTAGAAGAATGAGTGACAATGAATACGAATCTTTATAAGGTTGTAAATAATGCAACTTTAAACTGCCCCCTCTTTCTGACAGTGCAGACGCTTTGCTGCTTGCTCTTGCCTCTCCTTGCATTCTTTTGCTTAAACTCTCTTTTTTTCCTGCTAGAAATCAGCAGCTCTTGGATACTTTTAAATCACTGGGACTGTCAGATAAAGTAGGCTATTGCCATACTTTAAAATCTTTATGATCTTATTGCTACGCAAGTGCAGCCTATCAATAGCACTAGCCTGTACTGCAGTGACTGGAGCTATAGCTAATGCTAATTAGCAACAAGATGCCACCCTTCTCCACAGACGACTTCTACAAACTTCTACAGAAAATTAATGATCCAAAATTAATGATCCACAGGTTAGATGTAAATGTGGAAGTGAATGGACTATGTGGGAATGACACCACTTTACCATGGACCCAAAACAGTGGACAAGAGCATGCTAACACACGGCTAATTAGCACCAACAAGAATACCAAGAAGCAGTAGGCCTGTGTACTGGGTAATAAATCTAAAAGTGGGAGTCCTCCCTGGAACGCTCTTGGTGCAAAGCCTAAGAGTAAATCATTTCCGTGGGAAATGGAAGGACGAGTAACAGGCAGAAACCAGCGCCCTGAGATTTGTGATGCGACTGGCTGGACTGCATTATCATCCAGGCAGAGCGCCTCTTCAGCCCCTGTTCTTGGTAGGACACAGCCGTGGACAGCTGCGAAATGGAGAATTAGCAACAAACCTTCCCAACAACCGAGTGTGCAACAGCAGAACAGATTTTCACCACTATTGCAGGACCCTGGATCTCCGTCTGATGACCTGGATAACATCCCATCCTCACACAGAAGGGTAAGGACTGAGAGTAAATTAGAAAGTAAAAGGCTGCAGGGAAAGCTAACGACTGGGCCTCAAACTCTGACTGTGGGTGACGCTGCTGTAAATGATGTAAGAAGCATTTGCAGTAAGAACACCAAAGTACTCTGCTTTCCGAAGGATACGGTGTCTGACTTCGCAGAAAGAATCCTGCATATCGTGGCTGAACATCCTACTGTGAAAAACATCATACTGCACATCGGGGCCAATGATGTTGTGAATCAACAGTCTGAAGTGTTGAAAGAGGACTTTAATAATCTGTTGAACACGGTCAGCTCTTTGAATGCTGAGGTGTTTATCAGTGGCCCTGTACCGCCAATCCAAAGAGGAGCTGAGAGATTCAGCAGATTGATGGCTTTGAATACGTGGCTCTTAACGGCGTGTACTGTCCATTCAGTGCATTTCATCGAAAACTTTTACTTTCTGTGGGACCGCAGACATCTTTTTAAGGCAGATGGACTTCGCCTTAACAAGTCAGGAGTAAAATTGTTTAGCTCCAACCTGTTTTACTTTCTGAGTCACTCATCTGTTCCCTCTGCCAAGGACAAGAGACAAGAGGAATCAAAACAAGAAGAAGACATGACACAACACACCAGAAACCTTGAAGGAGAGCCAACCCAACCCCCACTGGAAGAGAGCTCTGATCACGGGAGACATCTGAGCCAAGAGGAAGAGTCTCCACCTCTCTCAGTGAAAACCAACAGTGAGGATTCAACATCTCTACCCCCCCAATCCCCACCTTCAGACACACTTTCTCCCCTCTCCCCCCTGTTTGACTTCACTGATCACATGGAAGACCTGGTTAGAGCTGGGACCAAATTTACTCCCCGCACCTTCCCTCGCTCCACTCCCATTTTCTCTACCCTAAACCCCCTCACCATCCACCTCCACCACTGGTTCTAAGTCCTCCAGGTTTGACACATGTGTCACAAATACAGCGCACAACCCGCCTTCCCGCTCCGCAACGGCGAAAAAGCCCAGTAAGCTCTGTCTGATATGTGCTGGGTCCAGGCTACAAGGAAAATAGCACTCATGACTCTTCCCAGGACAATCCGGGGCTCAGTGTGCTGGTAGTCTTCTCCATCCCTGTCTTGACAGGTAACAGAAAAAGCATGGTGAATGTGAAAACAGGAAGCACTCAACATATCCTGCAAATTTGTATTAATTCCTCATCAGCTGCAGCCTGTCGAAAAAAGTGGGCCAGATAATGTTTTTAACACACTAAAGTTAGCTTTGTTAAACGTTAGGTCTTTGGCAAGAAAAACATTTTTAATCAATGATTTTATAATCATTCACAATCTTAATTTCATGTTTTTAACTGAAACTTGGTTGGACCAAGATAACAGTGCAGCTGTCCTTATCGAGTCTACCCCTCCCAGCTTCAGTTTTATGAGTGAAGCTAGAGTGCATAAGAGAGGAGGTGGAATTGCCATTTTGTTTAATGACTCCCTCCAATGCCAAAATTTTGCTTCTTTTGAATATGTGGCTCTTCAGCTGAATTCCTCTTCTCAAGCTATTTTTCTAAATATCTACAGGCCCCCCAAATACTGTGCAAACTTTTTTACTGACTTTGGTGAACTGCTGTCTATAATCTGTATTGACTTTGACTGTGTGGTTATTGTTGATTTTAACAACTATGTTGACAACCCCCAGGAAAGAGGGACTAAAGAACTGTGTTGTGTTCTTGGTAATTATGGACTGACTCAACACGTGACGAGGCCCACGCACAATAAGGGGCACACTTTGGACTTGGTCATCTCCAAGGACATTTCCGGTTGTGGTGACTGATGTTGCTCTCTCTGATCATTCCTGTGTTTTCTTTGAGAGTGCTATCTGCGTGCACACAAATGTACAAACAGAGGTGATCACAAAACGGCACATCACTGAAAACACTCAGTGGATATGCAATTCAAACAATTAGACAAGCAATCAGTGCCTCCATGTCAGTAACAGGATATGTCTTGTCCCTTTGTCCACTTAAAAACAATTCATATAGCATGAGACAATTTGATTCTATTAACCATAAAAATCTGGAGGCCATAATACAACATCTGAAATCCTCCTCATGCTGCCTTGATATTCTGCCATCATGTTTTGTAAAAATGTGTCTAAATGCATGGCCTCAGATCTACTACAAATTGTCAACATGCCTCTCCACTCAGGTTTTGTTCCACAGGCCCTGAAAACTAGTCATTAAGCCACTCTTAAAAAAGAGCTATCTAGGCAGTTCACTAATGAGCAATTATAGACCCATATCAAATCTGTCATTTTAAGTAAAATCATTGAAAAAGCTGTTTTTCAACAACTTAGTGCTCTCTTGGCACTAAATAACTGTTTTGATGTCTTCCAATCAGGATTTCGACCGCACCACAGCACTGAGACAGCTGTTATTAAGGTCTTCAATGACATCCATTTGAACACTGACAGTGGCAAAATTTCAGTCTTGGTATTATTGGATCTCAGTGCTGCATTCAACACGGTCGACCAGAACATATTACTAGACAGGCTTGAAAACTGGGTTGGACTTTCTGGCACAGTACTAAACTGGTTTGAATCCTACTTAAAGGACAGGGACTACTTATGTAGTGAGCTGACAAAAATGACATGTGGAGTTCCCTGAGGCTCCATTCTGGGACCTTTTTGTTTAACATTTACATGCTTCCATTGGCTCAGATTATGAAAAACAACAAAATATATATATAAGTATATATATATAGTTATTGTTTTTGGAGCCAGGGAGGAACAATTGAAAGTCAGTGCTCGACTTCAATCTGCAACGTTAAGAACCACAAATCAAGCCAGAAATCTTGGTGTAGTCATGGACTCAGACCTGAATTTGAGAAGCCATATTAACACAATTACAAAGTCAGCCTACTATCACCTGAAGAATATATCAAGGATTAAAGGACTTATGTCTCAGCAGGACCTGGAAAAGCTTATCCATGCATTTATCTTCAGTCGACTTGACTACTGTAACAGCGTCCTTACAGGGCTCCCTAAGAAATCCATCAGACAGCTGCAGCTGATTCAGAACGCTGCTGCTCGAGTCCTCACTAAGACCAAAAAGGTGGATCACATCACTCCAGTTCTGAGGTCTTTACATTGGCTTCCTGTATGTCAAAGAATTGATTTCAAAATCCTGCTGTTAGTTTATAAAGCACTAAATGGTTTAGGGCCAAATACATTTCCGATCTTCTGCTTTGTTACGAACCATCCAGACCTCTCAGGTTGTCTGGGGCAGGTCTGCTTTCTGTCCCCAGAGTCAAAACTAAACAAGGAGAGGCAGCGTTCAGTTATTATGCTCCATATATTTGGAACAAACTCCCAGATAACTGCAGGTCTGCTGAAACAGTCAGTTCTTTTAAATTATGACTTTTAATTAGATATTTAAGATTTTTCTTTTTACTGATAATTTACACTTGCACTGTAACTTTTACTGTCCTGTTTTCTTTTTCTTTGTTTTTAGCTTTTTATTATTTTCCATTTAACTCTTTTGACCCTGATTGTAACACTGTAACTTTTATTATGTTTTATGGTGAACTTTAACATATTTCCCTGTTGCTTTTATGTTTTATGTAAAGATTTTTTAAAATTACCTTGTTGTTAAATTATGCTATACAAATAAACTTGCCTTGCCTTGCCTTGCCCTCTGTCAGCTGAAAGTGAAACTGCATGGTGGAAACCATCTGTCCAGACCAGGCCCCCCTCAGTGCAGTGTGCAATTTTAGGAGCAGCTCCCTTCCATTTATTATTATTTTTTGGTTTGTTCATTTGACATTGATGTCCAACGTATCAGTCGTGAACAAAAGCATAAATTCAAGGGATCAAGTAAATCAAATCAAACAGTAGCAAATATGAAAAACAATTAACATTCTAAGTATCAAATGACCTCGCCATGTAGGCTCATTATGTACTTAATGGCGTCAGCATCAACGATACACATTCAGAGACAGAATAAATCACAGTGAAGAAACACAGAACATCAACAGTCAAACAGATCGGATTACTGTACACAGTGCTTGAAGTAGAAAAAAAGGTGCCAGTACTCCCCAAACACTTAATTTCCTGCATTCTGGAGACATGTTCTGCACCAATTTATGGTGGAAATGTGTTTATTTATATGAAGGGAAATTAAATTAAGGTGGCAGGTCACAATTTAAAATATACAAATATAGGCCTAATGGAATATAACGCAGTAATCAGCTTTTGGACAATGCACATTTGTTTCTATATTTCAATTGCATTGCATGTTTTATTATTGTGCATTGTTTCATTTGTTATTTAACATTTCTTGTTGCAAGCTGTTTTTCATAACATTTTAACAAAAGCTTTCAAAAAGTGATGGAGACATTCTGATTCTGACATGTCCCCAGCGTCCCCAGTGTAAATGACGCCTATCTGCCAATATTTTTGAATGTCCCGCCCCATCCACGCTGTGATTGGTCGGCTCACGAAAAGTGACACTGACGAGCTACAGTCAGCAAACGGTTGCTTGAACGGCACCCGAGCTTCTCTTCTCCCTCGTCTCTCTCTGCCGAGAGAGTTTAGCAGGCAGGAGAGAACAAGAACCGGTAAGCGTCACGTAGTGCCCAGAGAACCTGATATGGACAGGGCAGAGGAGAGTACCGGTGTAACACCGGTGCGTCCACTTCAAGACTGTACATCTACATCTGGGTTTATAGGTCATTGGTGCTGTAGTTGTTTATATGAAAATATACCACTGCAGTGGTCGAACATGAACATCCCAAAGTAAATTATGCATAATAACAGTATCACTTTGTATTTATATCCAAGCAGGTATTGGATTAAGATCTTAGAAGATGTAACTTCCTTTGTATCCAACATTTTCTTTCATTTACCTTTGTTATATTCTACATCAGCCTCAGGTGGACAAACTAGGGAGCTACACTGAGCAGTGTTTGAGCACACTGCACACTGCAGTGAGGGGCTTCTCATCCAGACTGATATTTGTTTAAAGATTTCTTAGATTTTGAAAATAAATCTTTTCCTTAACAAAATAATGAGGATGACAATATAACCGTTAGTTTCTGTGATGTCACCCAATACACCAGAGAAAAACTGATAACATAGCTGAGTTAAAAGCACATATTCTGAACCTTCCTTCAAATGAGGACTCAAGATTCTTCAGAACAAAATGGCATTCATCTCAAAAATGCAACAAATCTTTTCCTAGAGACTGAGAAATTGTTATTTTTAACTGAAAAAAATCTTAGAATTGTATAAAAGTACTCCAGAATTTGTAGTCAGATTAACACCTTGGTACAAAAGTTAAATAAGACATATATCTTTGCAGTCTACCCAATGTTAGTCTGTTGAAGTAATTGTCTATAGGAGCTACAGTACATTAGTGTTACATAAAATTGGATTTAGGCATGATCACTGTTATATAACCATAAAGTAATTGCACTTTAAAACATGGATACAGTATCATAACTTACCTAAGTTGCTGATCATGTTTGGGTTGTAATACTTGCTGCTCATGTTTGAGTTAAAGAGTACAAAGTACTGCAGTTGAAGTGAAGACACAGAGATCTGCTGCAGCTCCTTTTAAAATGGCCCAAACCACACCCATCAGTAGCTGCACTGGTTATAAAGTGAAACTGAAAGTGAAAGGGAATCTGAAGCCGCATGAGGATATTTTGGTTTGAAATATCGATGGGACTGTCAGGGGTTTTCTGGCTCTAAATGAGGCAGAGGTGGTACCTTCAATTGGCTCAAGCAAACACTTTTTACAAGCCACATATTTTAAGAGTGTTAATGATGATATGATTGAAGAAAATGACAATTATCATGTTAAATCATATTTTATAAAGAAACATAAAGGCACCCTGTTCAACATTAAATCAAATACAGTCCCAGACCTCAGGTGGGACATCTCTACCATTAAGACAAAAGTCAATCATTTACCATTCATACTGTGATGATAATTACTTAGTACATGTCCCAGTTATATGTGAAACGTCTGTAAAGAAAAAAAGGTTTTCCTGATGGCCACACGCTGGCATGTTTATCAGAGCTTTTGCTTTTACTTTCATAATAATTGCAGCCTGTATCATAGATCGTATCCAGTGTCATGCTTATGATATGTTTATCCGACTTCTTTATGCATGCCTGCTTAGTTTCCCGGAAATCCCTTTGTACACTGTAAGCTGTAAACTTTGCTCCCCCTCCCTCACCATTTACAAGAAATGGCAGCAGTTCTTTTAAGCTCACCATTCTGTGCACTGCCTCTCCTATGATATGAAAGTGAAACAGGATGGATAAAATGAGTCCAGATTTATATACATTTGGTTAAAGGTTTTCAGGGTACTCAACATCTTTTATGCAGTTTGAATAATAAAGGTAGTGATAGTGATTTAATATGTTAATTGAAATACATGTGAATATATTCAAAAAACAACATACAGTCTTTAAACATTGTGAATCAATATATCTAGCAAGAGAACAAGAGATGCTTTGGCTCTGAATAAAGTCCCACCATAATCACCATGACAACCAATTATTCTACATTAATTTATCAAGACATAGTTTGTCACATAACCCAGCAATCAATTAATTATCTTATTCATGCTTATTCATACAGTAACGTCCAAAACTGAGTTCATGTAGTACACTGCTCGGCAGATAGAGTACTTCTCAGACCAAAAAAATCTTTGTGGTAGAACACAAATAAAAAGAATAAAAGGAAAATCAAATCAGAGAATGGTACAATTATCGTCTGTCTCAGCTTGCTGCTGAGCTTCCCATCTCAACCTTTCTCTTTCCTCCTCCAGTTCTCTTTCACGCTGTTCCTCTAAACGTTTTTTTATATTTGCCATCTCCCTCTCTCTTTCCTCTTCCTCTCTTTTCCTTTCTGCTTCTCTTTCCTCCCTCATCCTCCTCTTCTCCCTCTCCATCCTCTCAATTACCCTCCTTCTTTCCTCCTCTCTCTCTTTCATCTCCCTCTCTCTCTCAGCATGGAGTTGCTCATATATTTTCTTTATTTCTTTTTCATATTCTTCCTGAAGTTCCTTTCTTTCTTTCTGTAATTTCTCTTCCTTCTCTTTCAGGATGCGTTGTTTCTCCTCTTCAAGTGCCCTCTCGGCCTCTTGGAACATCTTGTTGGTGTAGTGGCTTCCTCCGTTCCTCTGGACTATATTTCTGATCTTCTGGAGCAGCTCAGTGACCTGAGAGCGATTCTTCTTCTCCTTGTTGTTGAAGACATGGTACTGGCCCTTACATCTGGCCACTAGTTCTTGAAGGTCTGAGCTTTCATCCAAGAACTCCTCAATAGTGTTTTCTAAAAGGTCACCACCGGTAAAGAGAACCATGCTGTATCTGTCTGCAGGCCAGCCAAAGATTTCTTGAATCCTTTGTCTGTTTCTCCTCTTCAGTGTATCTGTCCAGCCTGATGACCACCAGGAACACGTGGGGTCCAGGAAGAGCAAAAGAGATGCACTGCCTCATATCTTTAGTTGTTTTATTTATGCCAAACCTGGTGTCAAACAGGCCCGGGGTGTCAATGACGGCAACCTATTGCCCATCCACCTCAGCTTTGGCCTTAGAACAGTCAACAGTCATAGACTTTGCACTGAACTTTGATTCAAAGCACTGTCATCCCAGAATGGTGTTTCCAGTGGACGTAGTTGTTTGGGTTACAGAACGATTTAAAAAATATATTTGGGATATGAATGGGAATATATTCAAAGCACAATATAGTCTTTAAGCTTTTTGAATCAATATATCTATCGAGAGAACAAGAGATGCTTTGTCTGAATAATTCTCCACCATAAGCACCATGAGAGCCAATTATTATAAACTGATTTATCAAAATATTGTATTTGTTAAACGTTTTTTGTAACATAACACCTTAAGTTTGTAATTGACGTTTTTGAGGAGTAGTTTAAAAACAATTTATCTAATTAAAATGCCAATGTATGCAGTAACATCCAAAATCTAAGTTTGTGTACTATAATAGTACTCAGTGTACTACCTGTGTAGAACATTGCTCTGCACAGAGTAAACTTTGAGTCTGCACCCTTCTACCTAAACTCCATAAAAAGGTGGGTGGTGATGGCGAAGGAGAATAAGACACATGCCTTTGGTGTGAGAGACCCAGGTTCAACTCCGAACTTTGACACGTCCACCAATGTTCCTGAGCAAGACACTTAACCTCTAGTTACTCCAGAGGTGTGCGACCTCTGACATAAATAGCAATTGTAAGTTGCGTTAGATAAATGTAATGTAAATTTAATAATACAAGCTTACCGCGCTCCTCCAACGTACGCCGCCTGGCTGTGCCATTCCTACACACAAAGCAATTTCAGTCCCGGCTGTTCTTATCTGTAACGCCACAATGGTGGAACAAGCATGCCATCAGGGCAGGGGCGTCCCTCTCTAACTTAACCCCTGCAAACACATCTCTTCTGAGAACACTTTCTCTCTTATAACACCTCTAACCCCTAACCTCTAACATACAGTTCCTGTGCTCTTCTTCTTCTTTCCCCTTACAATTCTCTTGTATTGATTGCCCAATTTTGTTAACTCTTACTACTTTCCCTAGGTATTTACTCCATTTATGCCATATGTGCAATTAGCTCTTACTAGTATTTATTGCTACTCTTACTAGAATGTATTGTCACCAGAGATGCTTACAAGCCTCTCAGCTAGAGTCCAAGTCAAGTATCAAGTGCTGTATCACCTGCTGCGTTCCATCCAAGTACCTTATAACACTGCATTGCTATAAGGAATTCTGTAACTGTACCTTGTTTTTCACTTACAGAGTATAACCATGTAGCCTAATGTGCAATGCATGTACAACTAATGACAGCTTATAAACTACTGTAAGTCAACACATCCCTCAGACTCTCAAAGCTGTGTAACATTAACTAAATAAAACTGTAATGTTGCATGAAAAACAATAAACCTGTAACCTGTTTGCAGCAGTTGACATGATGGCAGCCAGCGGGACGTAAATGATTACACTAATTGACCACCACAAGTTTGGCAAGTAAACAAACGTTCATTCATCTTTTCATAACAAACGACAGTCGGGAGTTAACCTCTTGTAGGTCGTAGCTAAAGCAAGAAGCAAACTAATGTTAATGGCCAATGCTGAGCCAAACATGTTTACTAAACTATCAGGTTACTAACCTACTGTGCATTCAGCGCTTCTTTTGTTTGGGTCTTGTATGAAGTTGAAGCCGAAGCTTATGATGAATTACACAGCAGCTGCCTTTGCGGTCAACATGTTTGTTGTCTTTTGAGGACAAGTCTCAAGTTAAGTCTGAAGTCACTGTGTGTGCGACTTAAGTCCAAGACTCAAACTCGCGTCCCCATCTCTGATTGTCACCCATAGATCTCTTGCTGTATTGATGCTTTGTTGATGCTTGTATGTTGTTCCTCAAATGTAAGTCGCTTTGGATAAAAGCATCTGCCAAATGAGTAAATGTAATGTAAATGCAGAAAGAATGCATTTCCCCATTGTCTTCACTTTTCAGACCCAGAGGTTGCTGTTTGGTCAGCACTCAGTATGTTGTTTGTGCCTTCAGAAAATGCCACACTTCCAATGGCTGCTCACCCCTCCTTCCACCATTTTCAGAAAAAAAAATTGAAACTGCAGGAAATGCTGCACGCCTGGGACAGAAGTGAAACTACATTTGTAGTAGCCTATATAAACAGAACATAATGTTCAGTCTGGTGTCTAGAGTAAGGCTGTTGAGCGTGACCTTTGTGAAAGTAAATATACTGTATTTTGCTACAGAGCTGGTGACAGTTACTTATTATCTGAAAGGGTCAGGCTTTGGTGTGGTACGGGCGCCCCCTAATAAATTTCAAAATTTCAATGAAGTTGCCCTCATCATTTCACCTAGATGTGCAAAAATGTTTAGGTCCATGTAACATTTTCAGCATCCTGATGCCCTGTCCTAAACTCAACAGGAAGTTGGCTGTCATGGAAATAGTATATTGCTTTTTAGAAACAGAGAAGTACTATAACACATATACAGCTTGTCCAGAGACCTGCCGCCTAGGGCAGCTTCGGGCCTCTGGCCCAGAGCAAAGGGTTGCATAATCGTTTACACAGTGTAGGTTCCTGTGTTTTGGGGAACAGAGATCCTCTCCCGGCCTTGAATAAACATTCAAGGAGAGGAGACGAACAACAAGAGGGGGAAAACACTAAACAATCTCACAGCTCTGACCTAAACCCTAGTAAATGTGGACAGACTAACATAAGGAGTACAGAAGAAGGAAAGGTTAAGGTATAAAAAAAACAGTCTATATATGGCATAAACAATAATAATAATAAAATGTAAGAGGAAACAATTTTCTGGTTAACCTGCGCAGGAGGAAAGCACAGGTAATGGCAAGATAGACGATTTTCATGTTTCACTATGAAACAGGAAGCTGTTATAACTGGACTGTACATTGTCCAGTCGGCCCCATATGTGACGTGCCACTACTGAGTCATAGTCTTAGCACCACCTTCTGGCAACAGGAAGCAAGCCTTATGTGATAAACATAATTCGATTTACATGAATGTTACATTGTGTGGGCTACATTTGATATGTTTTTTCTGTGTATAGTGAATGTT